TGAAACGCGTATCAAACTAGATCCCACTGTTAGCCACTATCCATCTTATAATGAATGTCTTATTATTTACATATAGTAAATGAAAGTTCATAATAATCATAAACTGTCATAGGATATTAAGGTCAATCAATCAACGAACTATTCAAAACAGCTAATAATAATAATAATAATTTATCAAATGAATATATGATTAATCTAATAAAGAAGGAAAATATAATATTTCACCTTAATATTACATCATTAAATGATAATGTTAAAATGTAAAATAAATTATACTACACTATATATACTACTGTCAAAATTATAAAGTAAGATTTAAGTAAACTTATGTAATTCCAAAACAAACAACAAATCAAACTATCTCGTTATGAATGATAATAAAAATTGGAAAACATTAAGAATAAACAATAAAAAGAGAAAAAAACAAAATAACTATCTTTATGGTTTATTTATTAGAAAATCAAAAATGGATAATAATAATAATAATCAGTTGAACACAACACAAACAGTTGGTTCATTGTTCATTGACCTTAATTTTAGTGTAACTAATTACTAATTTTTATTGGTCAGAGTAAAAGTATAACCATTAAGTCACCTTTCTATTTTCAATATCTAAATCAAATCTTCAAAACAACAACAACAATTAAGTTTTAAGGTTTGTCCTTATTGAAATTAAGTTTTAGGGATTTATAATACAATTTTATGAAGGGTTATAAGTTATGTTAAACTTTTAAGTCTATCAGAAAACAGGAGAAGTAGTGTATATATATATATATCAGACGTTCTAAATTATAAACTAATTTATTGGTTGACTTTGTGGGTTGATTAAAGTAAGAACACTATGGAAAACCAGGAAGCATTGGACGGCCGATTTGTCCTAGTATGGGACTCCTCAATAGTGCGCACCTACAACACTACCCGCGGGATTAGAGTCTAGGACCTTCGGTTTCGCTTGTGAACGCCTGAACTCTAGACCACTGAGCCAGCATCCAATGGTCTAAATTCAACACATCCGTGGGTTCGAATCCTGCGGACGGGATCGTAGATGCGCACTGCTGAGGAGTCCCACAATAAAACGAAACGGATGTCCAGTGCTTCGAAGTTTTTCATGGTGATCTAGCTACAATCGGCTCATGATTTCAACTTACAAATTACTAAAATCTCCACAAAACCCCATTCTGAAAATAGATTTATATAAAGTTTACTAAACACTTAAAAAAGAGTATTATGGAGTCACAGAACTAATAGAAATAAATGATTAGAAAGGGGTTTTGTGGAGGTAGCAGTAATTTACTAATTGAATTCCTTGGTCGACATAAGCTTAACCACCATGGAAAACCTGGAAGCACTGGACGTCTGTTTCGTCCTAGTATGGGACTCCTGAGTAGTGCTCATCTACAATCCTCTCAAGGGATTCGGACTAATGATCATATCCTCTTCTTAAAATATGTTAACACAGTGGTGTTTGACTTGTAGTGGAAAGCAAACGTAATGCAAAAAATACTTCGTGAATACATTTTTCCAGATGATTACCATCAATATATCACCATTAACCAATACACTATATTGCTAATAAATTTGTCTGTAACTTCACCTGTTTATATAGACTTTTTAACTGATACCCAGTCTTTCATAAATATCCTACATTTGAACCTTAAACAGTAAACCAATGCAGGTAGGTATAAAAACAAGCCTTACTTCCAAGATAAACTTAAAAATAGAATATTGTTTTGTGTAGATTTATCTGTGACATTATAATGCTAGAAACTTATAGAATCTTCCCAAAGTCGCCGAATAAGTATGCCACGCAGTATATCGTCTTCTTGTAATTCTCTGAAAAGTCTCTTTTTAACAATGATCAGATGAAGTATTTTCATGTTTTCCCGGCTTCTGAATACCTTTCTTAGGGATTCAGGAGAAATCACAACACTAGCTGAAAATTTCACTCAAGCCCCCATTCTTAATAGTCCAAAAAAATCAAATTAGTTAATGTTCATCATGATCTGATATTATAATATAAAAGCCGTAGATTGTTTGTTGGCATCGATTCAATATCCGTAACATACATCTTCACTCAGAGACTCGAACCCAGTCCCGCGATTGCATTTGAAGCAAACAGTTCTAGGTCCGAATGCAGGAATGAAAAACAACTCTGGGATGCAGATACATCCGGCTAACGAGTTCCAAATAGGACGAAACGCGCGTACTGTATTCCACTATTTGTCACTATCCACTTTTCTTATAATTATTGCGAATTACGATAATATCAAAGCAACCGTACAGTATGCACATATGCCTATAAGAGACTGATCAATTGCAGTACTAAATATCACTGGGAAGATTTAAGTAAACAATACCAAGTGAATTCATTATTTTAATAATTGAATTTATTAGTCGATTTAAGCTAGACCACCATTGAAAACCTGGAAGCAATGGACAACCATTTCGTTTTAATATGGAACTCCTCATCAGTACATATCCACGATCCTGCATGTGGGACTCGAACACAAGACATTCGGTCTCGTAAATGATCCCCTAACCTTCAGACCATTCAGTCGATATCCAAAATATTCGTTTATTTTTAATTTTCCAACTAAAGTAAATCAGTGTTAAAGTGTTCAGAACACTGAAATTTCTCAGAAATTTCCATTATTAAAACTGCATTTTATATTTAGTGGTCGATTTTAATTTTTTTAAAAATTCACATCGAAGTTTGTACGATTATTTAATTGCATAAGAACAATCGAATTATTCTTAAAATACAAGTTTATATTACCAAGAAAAGCATTTATACTTTCTGACAATGATATCACATAAATTACACATAACCACTCGTATATAAACAGATACTGTTAACAATTTTGTATCTAAGCAAATGATTCTATTTTATTGAAAGTTACAGTTAACTGACTTAAATTTTGTTAGTATGTTGTATAGAATAGTAATAGTAGTAGTAATAATAATAATAATAGTAATAGTGATAGTAGTAGTAGTAGTAAGAGTAGGAGAAGGGGTAGTAGTAGTAGTAGTGGTAGTAAGAGTAGGAGAAGGAGTAATAGTAGTAGTGGTAGTAAGAGTAGGAGAAGGAGTAATAGTAGTAGTGGTAGTAAGAGTAGGAGAAGGAGTAATAGTAGTAGTAGTAGTAGTAGTAGTAGTAGTAATAATAATAGTAGTAGTAGTAATGATAATAAGCCTAAAGTTTTCTCACAAATGCATAAACATTTTTCAACTAGAAAACTAAATTTTTTTATTCCAGATTATTTACATTCATTAGTTACTAACCTATAAGTATAAATGAAACGTTTATACAATTACTTCTATTCTAAATAAAATGAGTCAATAAGAATGATTAATTTACATGATCACTTTTATGTATAATCTATGCACTAGTTCAGTCTTAATTTATTACATTTATGTATTGTCATAGTCTTTTAATATTTCCCTGTGCAATATCTTTATGGATCTATTTTTGGATATGAATTGTTTATTCAAATAAATTTTTGATTTCAAAACAAAGAAACAGGACGTTTTAGTGTCAACCAAAGAATGTAGAATGACAGATTCGATGTCGTTGTCATTGAAAGTTCTATAGAATAATCTCCATTTCAATATGACAGCTTATAACAATTCACATATCTATCTATCTATCTATCATCATATGTTCATTCATCTATAACTGTGAATAAGTAATTCATTGTTGATAAATTCGAAAGAACTTTATATTAACCGATAAATATACATTAGAATGAACAGTTTTAATAAAGCTGATATACCAGTTCAATGTGTTCTTCTGTTAATGTTTCTTTAGATTGTTGATAAATATTTAATGGATAAAACTTTACAATGATTGTTTGATTATATAATAGAAAATAATATGAATGTTTCAATAGTGAACCTATTTTTTTTATCAGATGAAGTTTGTGGATATTATAGTAATTTCAATGATTAAGATCATCAGTCAGTTGAAGCTAGACCACTATGGAAAACCTGGAAGCACTGGACGGCCGTCTCGTTCTATTGTGGGACTCTTCAACACTGCGCATCCGTGAACTCGCCCCCTGCGAGGTTCGAACCTAGGACCTACTGGTTTCGTGCGCGAGCACAATTTCATTTCAAATATGTCTTATAAACTTCTAAATTGATACCATCTTATAAAACATTAACAGAATTACAACATTTTTCTAATGATGGATTGGTATTTTAGTTGTTTAGACTACCATCTCAAATCAAAGATTTTCATCTCTCTTTTAATCTTAAACTTTGTCTAATTCTACATATATGCTTTACTGAATTAATTCAAGTAAGTGAAATGAGTTAACATAAATACACAAGTATATGAATCTCCCATATAAATACAGAGATTGAACGACTGAAGTATCCAATAAAACCCAAGAAACACTTCGGAAATTCTTCTTATTCATAAGGTCTGTTCATAGAGCTGAAGTGTTGAAGAAAACAGATCTTTTAAAAAGAATCCTGATGATTATATGGATGATATGAGGCTAGGACAGTCGTCCAATTCATATGTTGATGAGAACAACAAACATGTAAAATTTTCTAGACCTTCCTATTCGAAATTTACTGTATTATTATTATCTCATAGTTTTAATTTTTTTTAAAAGTCAATCGTGACCAGAATTTCCAAAAAAACATGAAACGATGACACACATGGAGATCATGAATACTAGAGAATTTCAGGAGTGTTTTAATCATCAAAAAGGGAAATGAGATTGTAACTTTACTGACAATTCGGAGTATTTTAATAGTGGTTAGAGTTATGTACCTTATGCACATATTTATCAGACAAAGCATATATATATATAAATATATATATATATATATATATATATATATATATATATAATGGCACAAGACATTTGCAAAGTATTGAGTAACGAGGAACGTATTTGTACACATCCATCGTTTCATACTACGAAAAGATAATTGTTCATTATTCACAAAATCACTAATATCAGTAATGTGTACATTTTTATACTTACCACCAACGTCCTTTAATTTGAGGTACTTTCTCTTCTGTATTACTTTTATTCTGTTTATTGAATTTTATTGAATTAATTACTGGATTTTGCCATTTTAATTGAGTTCTATGCTTTAATTGTTTATTTTGATGATCAACATAATTTGATAAACTTTTATTATATGCACTTTGTATAAGTGATGAAGGGTATATTGTAAGCGGTTGAAAAGATGATGATGATGAGGTAGGCAATTTCATAAATTTTGTTCTTTTCATATCAGAATATTGATTTAGTAGACGTGATTGTTGAGCTATTTGTTGTCTGTATGGATTTAATTCTTGTTCTTTATTCCATAAATAGGAAGTTTGTAAATTATCATTGATTTCATCAATAATAATCTTATTATTATTATTATTATTGTTAGTAGTAGTAGTAATAGTAGTTGAGTTGTTGCTAGCAGTTTTACTATTCAATGGAAGATTATTTTCTGATGAATAAGAATTAGAAGCAGATAATACGGATGCATCATCAAAATAAAATTTATCATGGAAATCAGAAAATTTACGTTGAAGTTTGCTTTGTATAAAAGATGGAAACATCAGAGAAGATGATGATGAAGTTAATTGTGCTACAGAAGCTGCTGGAACTGCTACCACTCTTTCCTTTGTCGATGGCGACGACGACGATGATGATGATGATGATGATGATGATAGTATATTTGGTAAATAATGTTTTTCTGAAAGATATCTAACAGGAAACTTGAATCTATTCAAATGATCCGGTAATGTTTTTATATATTGACCATATATATTATATGATAAAATGATTAAAAGAAATAAATTATAAAGTTTAATCATTTGCATTATATCTTTCAAGTTATTTCTCATTACATAGTATCAATGTTTATACTCTTATCCATTTATTTCATGTTTTACAATGTAGCATATGAAAATCAAATAACAAATTGATAGGATTAAGTTAAACAATCATAAAGAAAGAAACAAATAGAAGAACTGTACGTATTTGAAATGATCATATAAAGTGATTATCAGTAGTAGTAGTAGTGGTAATAGTAGTAGTCGTAGTTCTATTAAATTATACTGAGTAATTATGTAATATCAAAGTGATAATAATGTTTCAATATTTATAATGTAGATAATGTATATAAAAGTAGTTACTGTGTGATTTCCCTTCGTTTGTTTCTTTCTTTTTCTTTCTTCGAAAAGAAAGAGAATAGAAGAGTAGATCAACTACTACAAAAACAACAACAACAATGAAAAGAATTGGGTTTAGAACAAATAAACACTGTAGTACAAATAATTCATTCAATTATATGTATGTATTCAAATGAATAATTCAATTTGTATTTATGTCATGACCATGTGTTCGTATCCATCTATCTATAGGTATCATTAATAAGATTACTGTATTGTGTATTATGATATTAATAAACATTAATAGTGATTATATTCAAAATGGTATTAAATCTCAATAGAACGTGTATATATATATATATACATATATTAGTGCAGTATATTAGATTGAGTAGTGAAAAAACGAGAGTTTCTTCACAGTTAATTTTGTTTCAGTATACCTTTTACATGAATAGGATTTCATGGTGTAGTGTTTTTTTTTTAACTTGTTTTATGCATTATGTTTATATGTACGTATGTTTGTAAGTAGTATGTATGTATGTATATATGCATGTCATTGTATGTATTGGTGAAGTGTGTAAAATTAAACATCGATAAATATAACATTTATATTCACTGGAAAGAGATATAAATTTGTATCTAATTTGATTCGGTGCAGTTTTGGGTTCTTCTTAAATTATTTTTTTGTCTTGTATGTACAACTGTGCTATTTATGTCTGTCTATAATACTGACCCTGCAAAATTTTGTGTAAAATATTAATAATCATAATAATCACATTGGCGAGAGAGAGAGAGAGTGAGAGGGTGAGTGAGAGGGTGAGGGGATACAAGAATTTTTTTTCAAATGCTAAACATACACTGGGATACAGTAACCAATCCAGTAACTAGCTTGTCAATCATCAAAATGAAATGAAATCAACTAATTTTGGCCTATTGAACTATTGAACGAAAAAATGTACATATTTATCTATACACAATGTATGTAATCGAATAAAATATTAGATAGCAATTTATAACCTACATGTCAATGTGATTTCATCTTTTCCAGTACTGGATATTCATTCATTCATAAAGGCATAAGGCATACAAGTAATAGCTTATAAATGAATGATTGTTTCATTTCACCTGTCACCATTAAAAATGTAAAAAAAAAGAAAAATAAATAAATAATCACAACTGTCTAGTGTAATGTGTAAGCATAGATTCACTTTGTATGTGTGCGATATAACCAATGATACAATAACTAGATTCATGATTATTAAAATATTATGATTTAGTAACCATGTAGTAATTAGAACTATCACTAAGTGATTGATGAATATCTAATTCTTGATTTATTGATCATCTTTATATTAAAGAAAAAAAACTCATCCATTTTAATCTTTTTCACCTTTTCTTCTTCTTCATCATCTTTATTGTCAGATAATTTGATTTACTGATTACAGTCTTACTTGTCTAAGATTAATTACTTCTCCATGTAGTTTTTGTCTATTAGTGGTCGTCTGTAGAAGGTAAGTGATTTTTTTAAATAAAGAAAGTAAAAATCTACTATCACCACTGTGAATAACATATGTCAATCAACATCAACAGTACTATTCATAAGAATTACAATGAAATATTGACAGTTTTAAGGCGAGACTATAATTTATGGACGAACCAATCAAATATAAGATAACGGGTCACGATTAGTGGCGCAAAATTCATCCATACATTTGGATAAATAGAGTTCTGGCATTATAACTGATGTCAGTTCGCGATGAAAACTTTAAGTCTAGATTTTAACCTTAACCATCAGCTGTAAATGAGAATTCTAGCTGCTTCATAAACCTCATTTAGTCCTAATCAGTTGGTGTCCATTCTCAAGGTCACGTAAGCGTCGCTCATAGGTCGTCCATAAATTATAGTCTCACCGCTTTAACTAAGAAGTAAGTTTAGAATTTGTACTGTACTTTAATATAAGCTTATAATCATTCAATAAAAAATTAAAATAATCTGATGTAATACAAAAGAAAATAATTAAAACAATCTTTTGATAAGTGGTTTAGTTAGGTTTTGTTGGGGACGTTAGATCCCCAGAACTCACTTGGGAAAGGACCTAATTTTGTAATTTTATTTAGAAAATTTGAATTTTCTTCATTTTCGCGCCAAAGGCGCTCTTGTCACCTTCATGTCGTATTTCACACTGGGAAGTATCTTGAATGCTATTGGTCCGTTGCATCTTTCAATGTTCTATTTGGTAACTCTCTCCAAGGACGGTTTTGTACTGTATATATATACGTTTTGAATTGTGTTTGTTGTTATCGTTCGTTTCTGGCTGTTTGCAGAATATACTTCCCATTCCAAGCTTGGTCTTCTCCCTCTGGTTAGCGGGGCTGGGACGCATCAAATAGCTAGCATACTGGTTTTTGGTCACTGAGTCTTTGTTCTTGTTCGCAGACTAAGTGAACTCGTGATAGCTTCAACCCTAGCAAATTTGGCGACTGTGGTTTCGGAAACATAGATCCTTCTAAACTTGAATCATTACTCGAGCAGCAGATGAAACCTATTCAGATGTTAGCAGATACAAAGCTCACGTCTAATACTCAACCAAGCAGTTCTAATCCTGCTACTATTGCACCATCAATTGATGGTATTGCTAACAGTATCTCCGAGTTTCATTACGATCCGGAATCCAATGTCACGTTTGATACGTGGTTTCGACGTTACGAAGACTTATTCAAATATGACTTTGCTAATCAGAATGATGCTTGGAAGGTTTGATTGCTGCTTCGAAAGTTGGGTCCTAGTGAACTAGACAGGTATTGCAACCTAGTTCTCTCTCTAAACCCATGCGATCGCTCATTCTCGGACACTGTCCAGTCATTGAGCCAACAATTCGGAGACAACTCCTACTATTCAATGCGCGCTATCTATGTTTGAAGCTCACTATGAACGAAGATGATGATTTTCTCACACATGCTGGTATCGTAGTGTCAGATACGACCAAAGTTCACGTAGTCCAACAACCACGCAACTCGCATAAATCTGCCCCAGTGACATCTAGTTCGAGTCAACAGACAAAAACAAATCCTCCTGCCCCATGCTGGCACTGTGGTGTATGGCATTTTGTTCGATACTATCCATATAAACAACATCGGTGCAGTAAATGTAATGCGGTGGGTCATAAAGATGGTTTTTGTCGAAAAAAGAAGCCAAGCAGCTCCAAAGGTACCAGAAAACCTACGTCTGGATCCAACACGAATTCGTTGAGTCTAATAACAAGCTGTGAGAACTCAACCCCAGTTGAGAGGAAATTTATTACCCTTAATATTAATGGGGGCCCGCTTAGATTGCAAATAGACACTGCATCTGACATAACAATTCTCTCACGAAAATACTGGATCAGAATGGGAAGACCACGCATGGCACCAGCAACACAGAAACCTCGAACCGCATGCGGTAATTATTTACGTATGTTGTGATAACTAGATCGTAAATTTTCTTTTCACGATTCGACGTATACCGGGGTGTGTTACATCACACCAGCTGATCTTAATCTACTTGGTTTAGACTTGTTTGACCGGCTACATTCAGCTGACGTTCCGTTAAGCACTGTGTGCCATCTGGTGAAACAACCTCATGAACCTGAAGCAAATTCAAAAGAACTAATCACGGAGTTTTCAACCGTTTTCCACCCTGTATTAGGTCAGTACACTTATATGAAAGCAATATTTCGGTTGAAAATTGGAACTAAATCTGTATTCCGTCCAAAGAGACTAGTGCCATACGCAGCATTATCGAAAGTTGACGAAGAACTTAAACCCCTTCAACTTCGGGCAGTTATTACACCTGTTTCATATTCTGCTTGGGCAGCACCCATTGTGGTTATTAAGAAGGTTAATAGCACAACCCGAATATGCGCAGATTTTTCCACAGGTTTTAACGCAGCTCTCGAACAGCATCATTACCCACTCCCAGTCCCTGCAAATTTGTTCAAGATGTTAAATGGTGGGAAGTTCTTTGCAAAGCTGGATCTCGCTGATGCCTATTTACAAGTGGAAGTGGCTGAAGATTTTAAAGAGTTACTTACTATAAATACTCATCGTGGCTTGTTTCAGTACAATCGCCTACCATTTGGTGTTAAGACAGCCCCATCTATTTTTCAGCAACTAATGGATACCATTCTATCGGGTATCCCGGGGGTCGCAACTTATCTCGATGATATCTTGATTGTTGCCACATCGTTAGAACAGCTTAGAGAACGCACGACAGCTGTACTACAACGCATCAGCGATAACGGATTCCGATTACGCCCAGAAAAATGCCAGTTTTTCTTGAAGTCAGTTAAATACTTGGGATTCATCTTTGATGCCGCAGGTCGCAGGCCAGATCCTGAAAACACCCGAGGTATAAAACAGATGCCGACTCCCACTAATATCTATGAGCTACGATCACTCCTGGGACTAATTAGCTACTACTCAGCCTTTGTTCCGTCGATGCATGACATACGCACCCCGTTAAATCATCTTCTGAATAAGAATACCAGCTGGAACTGGACAAAAGAATGTGAAGCTGCATTTTGCAAGTTGTAAACAAGCATAAGCTCTGAACTATTACTGACATACTACGATCCGCGTTCATGCCTATCATTGTCGCTGCAGACGCTTCAGCTTTTGGACTCGGTTCTGTCATCTCACATCAGTTCCCGGACGCAACAGAGAAAGCTATTATGCATGCATCTCGCACATTAAGTT